TTTTGGAGATTTCGGCGCGCGCGCAAAAAACGAATGTGTCCCGCATGGTATTATTTGACAGGGATGATGGCCCTGGCAGGTGCGCAACCGTTGTCGCAGAAGGTCGAAAAAGTTGCTCGCAAAAGCCCGTTTGACAGAAATGTTTAAAAAGTGTTGGTTTTCCTACGAATCCGCAAGAGCGCGCGGGATGAGATTTTGACATTTTTTTGTTGAAAAACCATTGGTTTTTTGATGTTTTTATGTTAAAATCGCTCCGAACACTAAGCTTTTGGAAGGATTTCGTCTTGCGCGCGCGAATGTCCACTTTACCTTATTTTTTGCAAGGGATTCTTGAAATTTGATTATATTAGAACAAGAAATGTCATTTTATAGTGTTTTTTGCAAGGGAAAACGGATTACAACAAAACAACCGGATCTGGATCACATCGTTTTACCTGAGGCTTCCTCACGAAAATGATGAAAATGTAGCTGCGGCCTAGGCGGCGCAGGGGGGGCGTGCACCAGGGGGCCCAACAATAATTATTCTTTAGAATAAATAATGTTCAACAACAACAACATTAAGACTGGGGACACTCCGTTCTCACCAGTGCCAGGGTTTTCATAGGAGGCGGGCAATACCCCCACTTTGTGGGGGGGCCGGTTCAAGCTCTACCAAATTTCCAAACGACTCTTCGCCACCACCCACACCCAGCTTCCCGCCCTATGACGTTCGGACACTTCACTTCGTGGCATGCGGACGACCGTGGCTACTATTCAGGGCCCCGCGGCCGACGACGACGGCGTGCGCGCGCGAAGAAAAAACGAATGTGTCCCATATGGTATTATTTGACAGGGATGATGGCCCTGGCATGCGCGCAACCGTTGTTGCAGAAGTTCGAAGCACGTGAAAAAGTTGCTCGCAAGAGCCCGTTTGACAGAAATGTTGAAAAATATTGGGTTTCCTCAGAAATCCGCAAGAGCGCGCAAGATGAATTTTTGAAACTTTTTTTTTGAAAAACCATTGGGTCTTTATGTTTTTATGTTAAAATCGCTACGAAAACTAGGGTTTTGGAAGGATTTCATCTTGCGCGCGCGAGTGCACTTCGTGTCATTTTGTTTCAAAGGATTCTTGAAGTTTGGTTATGTTAGAACAAGAAATTCCATTTTATAGTGTTTTTTGCAAGGGAAAGCGGGCGTCAACAAAACAACCGGATCCGGACACCCACGTTTTGCCTGAGACTTCCTCACGAAAATGATGAAAATGTGGCTGCGGCCTAGGCGCGGCGGGGGGGGCGCGCACCAGGGGTCCCAACAATAATTATTCTTTAGAATAAATAAGGTTCAACAACAACAACAACAACCACCACCACCACCACCACCACCACCACCACCACCACCACCACAATAACGACAACACCACCACCACAACAACAAACACAACATCAAAAACACTCAAACAACGCCAACAGCGCGACAACAATCCGCTCAGAGGGAACCCCACTTCAACCACGCACCCAGGGGCAGTGAATGGCCGTTCGGCCCCCTCACTCCGATCAGGATGCATGCTGGCTGTCCTGCACGCGCCGATCACATGCACTGAACATGTGGCTGCAGCGAGCTGGGTCCCAGGCCCCACCGCGTCGTCGCTCGCATCGACGAGCATGGAGGCCTGGCCTCGCCGACAACGGCCGCCATCCTTCCACCGGACGAGCCCCTGGGGCGCGGGGCCCCCGCGGGGCCCGCGGAATGCTCGAGAGTAGGGGGCAAACAAACCTACCTCGCTTTTGACCACCCTCGCTTCCAAGAGATACCAAGCGATGCCAAACTGCGGCCTGTACTGGTCAGGCCGCTTGACGAGGAGGCGCGTGGTATGACTTGGTTATGCCTGGAAGCGAAAGCGGGGTAGGTAATTCACGCTCTGAGAGAGCGCGAATCCACATCGGACTCGTCGGATCCGTGTCGAGCCCGCGTCGACTCCGCGTCGAACCTGCACCACATCCGCGCCGAATCCGCATCGCGCCCGCGGGGGAGAGGCGGGCCCGCGAAGCTGCAGCGCAAGGAACGTTTCACAATGTGGACCCCCGGAGGTCTGGAGGAGGAGGAGGAGGAGGAGGAGGAGGAAAAGGAGGAGGAGGAGGAGGAGGAGGAGGAGAAGGAGGAAAAGGAGGAAGAGGAGGAGGAGGAGGAGGAGGAGGAGGAGTAGGAAGAGGAAAAGAGGAGGAGGAGAAAGAAGAGGAGGAGGAGGATCCCTTCCCCTGGACTGGCTTTTCATCCCAGGTCGCTGTTTGACAGGCGGAGGGCCCGACATGGGGGCCCCCAGAGCCGTCCATTGGCCCAACCCCTCCGTCACGTTTGTCTACGCGAGGAAATATGCGGAGGCCCAGAGGGGGGCCCAGACGGCACGAATCGCCAGGAAACCCAGGGACACCGTATCAGTGCCCTCGTGGGAGGCCTCTTGAGAGCTTCGACGAACCTCCTGGGGCATCGTCGGGCCTCCGTGAGCCAGTTCCCCTGCCCGCCACGGCGACTCCGGTCGTGGGCGGGCCTTGTCCATACTCCTCGGCCGCGACCCCACGGATACAGGGCAACTTTGCGCGGATGCGCCGCGCTGGACGCATCCATGGGATCGCCGCCCCGTATCCGTGGACGAAATCTAAACACATCCTCTGCTACCCTGGCCAGGCCCATTCTCCATCCTGGACCCAGCAGCGGTGTACGTGCCACGCCGTCCTGGCTTGGCTGGTAAGGCGAATAGACCGCTGCTGGGTTGAGAATTGGCCTGGCCAGGGAGCAGTGGGTATGTGTAGATTTCGTCGCCCGATATCAGCGTCGAATCAAGAACTCGCATCGGATCGGAGCCTGCGTCGGCCAGGCTGCGCCAGTATCACTCTGCGCGCTTCTGGCACGCACCAGGCCGCACCCCATCGCGGGCAGACCGAGACCGAACCAGACCGATCGACGTGGACCCTGGGTGGCCTGGCTCTTCGGCAAGCCTCTGAAAGAAGAACTTCATTCATTTTCACTTTCAGACGGGTGAGAAGATCCCCCAGAGAGGGGCGGTTTTGGCAACAGACGGCACGACTGAACGGCGACACAAGGCACAATAGCAACATCAGACGTTCTGCGACATGAATGCGGGCGCAGCTGCTCTGCAAGAAGAGAAGCCTACGCAACACCCCAGGCTTTCGGAGGCCCGCACGGACTCCTCGGATCGGCGCTGGACCACCCTCGCGCGTGTTCGCGCGCCAGGAGCGGCGCCGGGAGGCGTGCCCCGCGCGGATCCCAAGAAATCCGCGCGCGCCTTCGATGACTCTTGCGTGTTGTGCAGAAGTTGTTTCGCTCCCGGGGTAACCACAGTGATGGGCCTGTTTTCCACCACCACCACCACTATAAGTTGGAGGGAGAGGGGGTCCTCCTCCTCCTCCTCCTCCTCGCCCTCCTCCCCCTTCCCCCCCTCAACTCATGGTGGTGGTGGTGGTGGAAAACACGCGCATCATCCAAGAAATCCCCGCTCCCCGTCGATGATTCGGGCGTGCTGTGCAGAAAATGTCTCGCTCCTGGGGCAACCACAGGGCACCCACACCGCTCCTCCCCGGACCTCTCCCGGGGTGCTTCTTTTCTGACAAGGAGGCCGAGGCACACCCAGAAGCGGCGGCGAGGGCCCCCTGCAGGAGGCCCGAGGAGGCCGAAGACAAGGGAAGGGTAGCAGCAGGGGCCCGAGGAACAGCACACGGCACGGGCACGGACCGTTGGCGGCCACCGCGGACCTCTCGCCTCTGGGGCCGCAGCCCCCCCCTCCCCAGAGGGCGCGGGCCGCGCCAGGGCCGGCGCTGGAGGCGCCGCCATGGGGGGGCGCCGGCGCCGACCCGAGGGACCCGCGCGGACCTCCGAGCTCGTGTGTTGGAAGTGGCCCCAGGACACACAGATAAGTACACACACAAATACAAATATGTCCCATGCTTTCCCATATTTTCTGGGTTTTTGTCTTCCCCCCCACTTCCCATATTTTCCTATATTTTCTGGGGGATCGACGATTAATTGTGTCTGTGTGTTTCTTTCCCTCCTGAATGTTATAAAGCCATGGCTCGTCTCCCCTCAGGATGGTGGCACGGGCACCTCTCCCCTCTCCGACTGGGACGCCCGAAGAATAGGCACGAAGAGAAGGGGCACGATGCGCAACAGCACATCTTGCCCGAAACCGACAGCGGCCGCTGTTGGGCGGGCGGCTCTGTGTCTTCCCGAAACCGACAGCGGCCGCTGTTGGGCGGGCGGCTCTGTGTCTTCAGTGGACAACGTCCGCGGCGGCGCGGACAGCGAGTCCTGTTCGGAATGACCAGTCACTGCTGTCGGTCTTCGTACCGATTCTTTCCGTAATCACCCACTTCGATCGTCCCGAAGTCTGAGCTGCTTGTTGGCCCCAGGCAACCACCGCCGCCAGCAGCGGCGCGCAGCAGCAGCGGCGCGTTTTAGGAACAAGGGAAGGCGACACCAACACCACCAGGGCGAGGAGATGCAAGAAGCAAGGGGTCTCCCTGATGGTGTGCTCCCCCCATCTCGCTCGAGCCATCCCCAGCCTGCAGCTCGTGGAGGCATCGTGAACCTCCTCATCGGAGGTGGCCCCCCTGGTGGTGTCGGTGTCGCTTCTCCTCCCTCCGACGTTTGTTTGTAGACAGGGACGCTCCAATACTCGCACGGTGGCTGCTCGTAAATGGCCTGGATCCGCGGCGGGGGTCTTACGAGACACTACAAAGAGCACACGTGTGTTACTGTTCAGACGCAGGCGGGTAATTATGCAATCTGCAGGGGAAACCAAAAGGAACCGATACGGCTACTCCCCGGACCTCTCCCGCGGTGCGCTCTGACCAGAATTTCGAGGCGAACCCAGCGTTGGTGACGAGGGCCTCCCAGGAGGCCCAAAAAGTGGCCAAAGGCAGAAGGGCAGCGGCAGCTCTGGGTACCTCCTCCTCCCCTGCTCTGCGAACCAGTGGAGCGCGCTCGGTGATGCTTTGGGGGCCGCGCGCCTGCAGGGGCTGCGAGAAGCTGCTCTGGCCCACGTCCGCCACCTGGCGGTGCGCTCGGCGCGCCGGGTGGGGGGGGGGAGGGCGGCGGCCCGGCCCGCCCCCCCCCCCCCGCCCCCGCCCGAGGCGCTGCAGCAGGGGCGCGCGCCGGTGCGGAGGCGGCGTGCGGTCCTGGGCCACGGGCGGCGTGCAACGTGGAGCGCTGGCGGCGCAGGGCACCCTCCCCGAACCGACCTCGACCTTGATGCCTCGGCCCGACCGTACGTCTCCCGTCCGTTCTCCCCCTCCTTCGGGCCTTCCTCCGTCCCCCGGCCTGCTCCGCCTGCTGCCGCCTCCGCCCCCCGTCCTCGCGTCCTCCCTGTGCTTTCTCTCCTCCTCCCTCGTGCCCCTCGTCCTCCTCGCCACTCCCCATCAGCCTCACTTCCCTCCTCCGAGCAGATCAGGCAAGTAGCGCTGTCCTTCAAATCCAAGCCGGCCTCTGGCATTGACAACCTGGGGCCCAGGAACATGGCGCTGCTTTCAGATGACTGCCTCAATGCTTTTGGCGGGGTCATGGAGGTCGCTGTGAGGATAGTGGAAGTACCCACTCAGATGACGAATACGGTCTTGCCACGTCTCCCGAAACCTGAAGGGGGACAGATAATGATTGGTTTGATGACGGACACACAGCGAGTACACAATCGATGCCGACGCCATGTACAGCGCGGTTGGCTTCGAGCACATGAAAGACCATATCATTATGCTACAGCTGGCAAAAATTCGGAGATGGCTGTTTGGACTCAATCTGTCTTGGCAGAGGCAGGCCGAACTCCCATGCGGCACTCGGTTACGGGTATGCTGGACTTGAAGAAAGCCTTCGAGAAGATAGCACATGCTACCCTGTGGGTGATCGGTTGCAGGCACAAGTTTCCAAAGCGCAGGCTCGCCATGCTCATCAAGACTTATGCAGGGAGAAGGAGCCTCAAGTTTGGCAAGATAGCCTCGAGGTTCATTCGCACTTCGCACTAACCAAGGGGTCACTGCTGGATGGTCGGATGCTACCACCATGATGATCATGTTCACGTGGGGAGCGTACGACCAGGTCTACACGCTGTGGCCCTCTCTCACGATCAGTGTTGTCGTGGACGATGGTAGTTTGCAGGTCTCGGGATCGGAGAAGGATGCAGTACGGATTATCATAGCGGCGGTGAAGTTGCTGTGCAGACTGCTGATGAAATTGGGACTGGAGCTGAGCCCGAACAAAGGTCATGGCATTGCGACGACGCCGAGAATGGCAAAGGAAGTTGAAATGGCACTCAGCGATTGGGCTTTCAGACGAGCAAGAGTCGTGCGACAACTTGGACACGATCGACGCATGGGAGGTGGAGCTAGGATACCTACTCATCGGAATCGTGTGACAGCTGTCGGGCGCAGAGTAGTACGATTCCGTAAGTTGGCCAAAGGCGGCAGGCATATGGGTAAGCTCTTTCGCTCTGGAGGCCTGGTATCGATCGGGTACACAGCCAAGGTGCAGGGCATGAGCGACACCCAGCTGCAAAAGGTCATAGCCCTCTCTGGTCATGCGCTGTTTGGTTCGGCGAGGGGAAGATGTAGAACGATGGAGTTGTTACTTTCGTACTGTCCCAGGGCAGACCCTACCTACATAGCGGACGACTACCCACTGGTGTACTGGCTCAAGGCAAAGTGGGAGCAATGGGTCAAGCCCAAGGCGATGGCTTTGGCTTTCATGCACGCGCAGAACCACACACGGTCGTGGCATTCAGTGCAGGGACCAGCGGGGGCAGTACTCATGACTCTCAGACGCATGAGTCGGCGAGCTGAGAGGTGGAACCTTTGGTTTACTTAGCGTGGCTCGAGAGTGGACTTGGATGACACAGGTGTTGGCAAGCTCAAAAGGCTGATCAACATATCCACAACAAAGCGACTGCTGGAGGCGGTATTAGGCAGCCGTGACATGAAGGGCTTACGGGGCCGCCTATTCTCGAGCCAGCCCTGGAGCTGATTGCTAAACTACGGCAACAGGGAGATTTCAAGGGCGCAGGTCTACTACGCACGTGGCTGGCTGGAGGTGTTTTTCAACCAAGCGAGGCTACATGCGGTGCAGGAGACGGAGACTACTATCTGTGCTCTTTGTGGAGTGGAAGAAGGTACTGATTTGCATCGATGCTTTCGCTGTGATGGGCATCTCACTGAGCGTCAAGATTGGAGCGGTACGAAAGGAAACTCATGCAGTGGGGACGCACTGAATATGGGCAAGACCACCCGTGCACGATGACGTTGTGCAAAGGTCTGTTTGTGTCGACGACAGCTGTATATTCCCACACGGTGAGATGAGAGCTCGAGGTGGTTGGGCTTTCTGTATGTTCGATGCAGGTGGCAATGTTCTTGCAGCAGCCTCAGGATCTGTCCCGATCCCGTGGCAGACATCTGGGGCAGCAGAATTATCCGCCGGCCCACTTGCGGGGCCACCAGGCTGTAGGCCGGGAATTCGCAGTTTCATGTACCAGTTGCAGCTTCCAGTTTCCACTGTTACAGTTCTGCTTCTTGCTGCTTACTGTTCCTTGTTGACTTCTTGCTGCTTACTGTTCCTTGTAGATGGACCGCGCGAGGGCTGGGGTGGGTAAAAATTGATACCCCTCACGCAGATCGGCGGGGTCAGGGTCCAAAAAAACACGAGGGATTTGCCATATTTCTGAAAATCGGTGACACCCCTCACGCAGATCGGTAGGGTCAGGGTCCAAAAACAAAGGAGACTTGCCACATTTCTCAAATTCGGTGGCACCCCTCAGGCATATCGGCGGGGTCAGGGTGCGAAAGCACACGGGTTGCATTTCTGAAATTCGGTGGCGCCCCTCACGCAGATCGGCGGGGTCAGGGTGCAAAAACACACAGGATTTGCCACATGTCTCAAATTCGGTGGCACCCCTCACGCAGATCGGCAGAGTCAGGGTCCAACATGATCGACCCACGCACCCGGAAAGGAATATAAAAATATAAGGCATGGCAACGTTTCAAAGACACCTGATTGGGCGACGGGCAAACGAAATGCTGAGTGTATTGATCTTGATGTACCGTGCCGAGAGCTGTTGCGACGCGCCTGTGCTCTATAGCGTTGTGGATCGAGTCCTCCTTTACATCCGAGTCCTGACCGAACTGATCTGGATCGTAAGTTCGAGCTGCCTCAGCACATACTAGCTGCCCCAGAGCGAATTGACAGGGGAACGCCAGGAGGACGCGCCGCGGAACGTCCCGAGGGACGCGCCAGGCGACGTGCCAAGGGACGTGCCACGGGGACGCACCGCGGGACGTGCCGAGGGGACGCGCTACGGAAAGTGCCAATGGACGTGCCACGGGACGTGCCAGGGGACCCGCCGCGCGACGTGAAGGGGGACTCGCCACGGGACGCGCCACGGAACGTGCCAAGTTGCAATGCTGATGGTATCAATCTTGATGTACCGTGCCGAGGGCTGTGCTGTGCAGCGCCGTGCTGAACTGCGATGTGCCATGCCGCGACTGTGCTCTATAGCGTTGTGGATCGAGTCCTCCTTTGCAACTGATCTGGATCTTAAGCTCGAGCTGCCTCAGCACATATTAGCTGCCCCAGAGCGCATTGACAGGGGAACATGCCAGGAGGACACGCCGTGGAACGTCCCAAGGGACGCGCCAGGCGACGTGCCAAGGGACGTGCCACGGGGACGCACTGCGGAGCGTGCCGAGGGGACGCGCTACTGAACGTGCCAATGGACGTGCCACGGGACGTGCCAGGGGACGCGCCGCGCGACAAGCGACAAGCATTTCGCCTGAGACATCACTTGAATTCTGGCCCCCCAAGAGGCCCCGCTCGAGGCATCCCCCAACTCTGCAAAACCAGCGTCTCGCTCGAGACATCCTGAACAAATTCGGAAACAAACAAGCGTTTCGCTCGACACATCCTCAAATTTTAATCCGCCGGCCCACCTCGACCTCGATACTCATCAAGGAAAGAATCCGCCAGCCCACCTCAGTTGAGGCACCGGGGAGAAGTTTACCAACTAAACGAAAACCCTGGGCCGGCGCCCTTTACGGGAAAAACACACGAGATTTGCCACATGTCTCAAATTCGGTGGCACCCCTCACGCAGATAGGCGGGGTCAGGGTCCAAAAACACATGGGATTTGCAACATTTCTAACATTCGGTGGCACCCATCACGCAGGTCGGCGGGGTCAGGGTCCAAAAACACATGGGATTTGCCACATTTTCAACATTTCGGTGGCACCCCTCACGCAGATCGGCGGGGTCAGGGTCCAAAAACACATGGGTTTGAACATTTCCAACATTGGGGTGGCACCCCTCACGCAGATCGGCGGGGTCAGGCTCCAGAAACGCAAGCGATTTGCCACATTTCTGAAATTCGGCGGCACCCCTCTCGCAGATCGGCAGGGTCAGGGTCCAAAAACAAAAGGGACTTGTCACATTTCTGAAATTCTGTGGCGCCCGTGACGCAGATCCGTAGGGTCAGGGTCGAAAAACAAACAGGTCCTGACACTGCTTCACGGCGGCGCCCAGACCTCATGATGAAATGTTTGCATCTACCAATCTCCGAGAGAGGGGGCCGGCGGCAGGGGACGAAGCCCTTACGGATATGCAGTGAGGCAAGCAATCCTTCACAAGTCTCAAGGACGGCTTCGCCTCATCACGGACTTCAAGGAGCTCTACATCGGCTGGTAGACTGGCTTCCCCTATGGCACACGCTCCGTTCACCAGTATGCGGAGCTGTGGGTGCAATTCTGGAGAGCAGTCGAGGACGTCGGGGCTGACGAGATTGAGATTGAAGGGATACCGTCGCATCTGTCTCAAACACGTGCTGTGGAGCTGCAGATCCCCCCGGCCTACTGGCACGGCAACAAGCAGGTGGACCTGCACGCAAAGTGTGGAGCCGGCATGCATCGTCGAGATGTACCTCAAGAACGAGGTCGCCAAATGCGCGAGCATGCGGCAGCGATGACACTGAAAACAGTGCTGCGCATCCTGCGCCGCTGCTCGAGAGGAAAATGGGCGGATGTCA